TGCGGTCGTCCTGAACCGCACTGTCTATTGTTTAAACTTCCAAACCGCAAAACTGGGTTTTGTTCGGGCGGTTTAGGGCGGTTTGGGTTTTCGTAGGTTTGACCCGCATGTTTGAATATGAGATCACCCCTTAGCGGATATCACTTATCAGTGAACATAGTGAAATTAAAACCCGATGAATAATTAATGCATTATACAATTATAACAGAAGCAGCAAACAATGTCATTACATTTATTTTATATTTCGATGTGAACGAAATTATCTAAATATATCGAAAAGAATGTAAAAATAGGTAGTAATTGTACCAAAAATTGGTGGGAAGAATTATTGTGCCCAAAGGGTTAACTTAAATCAGCATCTGACCTGTCTCAGAGAGAAAATGTCAAGGAATAAAAATATCGTATTAGATGCACATTCCCAATAAAGATGCACATCCCCAATAAAAGCACATGTAAACTGTGTATTCTATACTGGATCATTTTAAAGTGAGGGGGTTGTCACCTGCGCACACTCGAGAATTGAGTCACAAGCGACGATAACACACGCTAAAAAGGGTCATGGGTAGACGCATGTTTGTAAACAATTACATGCTATGCCCATCTGACGTATGCGCAGGTGACGACTCCCTCCCCCGCTTTAACCATAGACGCACCTTTTACTTACATAAATGCTTATATTACTAATAGAACAAATTTGGTATTCAGTTTCATCATTTCCTCACTACCGTTAAAATCCTATTATAAACCGCATACCTAATAGTAACCGCACCCCTGATTTCGGCTTCAGTGTTAAAGAGTTCTCAACAAAAATTGAAAACATGAAAAGTACCTATTACTAACCGCACTTCCAATTCAACAAGACCGCGACCGACTTTGTTTCGACCAGCTGGTACATTGTTCCTAATCCTATTCATTTGTTTCGACAACGTGCCTAAAAATATTCACACCTCTTTTATTGTTCAGTGTTAGGATGTCAAACACGCAGTGAAACTGCTTTTGTCTTGTGACAACGTTTGTCAATACTCCTTATGAATACGTCCGTGTGTCGCAAGTTTTCGACAATGAGCTGTTCTCACCGAAAAACTGTTAAATTCTTTTTCAATGCTTAGTTTATTTTTCGAAAACAACTAATTTTGTGATTTAAAAAAAAAGTCATGTCGTTTTCCCATGGAAATCAAAGCCAAAAGATCGCACTGCATTATCGGTAAATCGCTTTCGGGTTTTGTTCACCATGAAGACGGTGACCTGTCATTAACATATTTAAATGAACTAAGGTAATTTGAACACGTGGGCACCATCCAGCATTTTGATTGGTTAATTAGCGACTTGACCTACCCGGTCAAGTACTGTCTCGTGTGCATTCAAACTACATAGCGGAAGTCGTGCCGCATCGATCGTTTACATGTGACTGAAATAATTCGCTTACGGTGAAACTAAGTTGAATTTTACTTGTATTTGATAACAATTCAACGAATTTATTTTTCGTACGCTATTATAATCACTACTGAGTAATAATCAACAATTTCAACAGTTCGAAAAAAAGTAAAGTTATTCACTTGTGAGCCGAAGCATGGCCGGATTGAGTTACCGTACCCATGGTACCGTACTTTTTTAGTGCCGTACCATGATCATTTTCTACTAAGCAATGCATTAATGTTTGTTTTTATTTGAAACTCCTGTCAGAATATACTTTCCGTTACAAAGAAAATTAAAAAAGTATATGCATATTACATTAAATATACTGAGTATTGTTTTTTCATGTGAACAGTTTTTTTGTGACATGACCTTATCACTCTTCCCTGACATCTAAATTGGAGTTAGCTTATATTCAAAAGATTGTACGGTGTTTTGTTTGTTTTGTGCAAGTGATGTGGGAAAAAATGACCACGCCCATTTAGTGATTGCAATATGTCCCTAATATAAACCGCACCCCGAACTTGAGCTGTTGATCCCAATTTTGTATTTGATACATTGTAATATAAACTGCGGTTTATAATATGATTTTAACGGTAAGTACTGATACATATATAGGTAGGAAAGTAGATTTTCTTGTTAACAAAAAACCTAGTATCATTGCGGAGGCTTAGACCTCAACTAGTTTTTTTACATTCTTTTATTTGTCATCAGCAGACGAACCTATATTATCTGTTGCCTAAGTTACTTTAATTCGTTAGCATAATTGATGGTTTGAATAGTCGATCACACAGCACTTAGATGAATTAATAATGGGGACATTTGTTTAATGGGCAGTTCGACTAGACATACTAATGTTGCTATCTCACTGGTAGCTGAGCACAAAATACATTATACTGTCTCTAACAGTAATCAGTTTTGTAATATTTCATAGAACATTTGATCAGAAATTACTAAAATTTATTAAAATTTCTACTAATGTGAGAGTGGTTTTAGGCACACAGATTTCTAATTCTTGTAACCATTTTCAAAATTTAGTAACCCAACTGGAGAAAAATTTAAAATTACCGATATTTTTGTTTTCTACATAAACTAATTTGTTTTTAATACAAGTGTCATCTACAAATTGACCTTATAACATTGCTGCATGCTGCAAGTACCAATAAACTCATTCGCAAAATCATAAAATTCTATAAAAAGGCTTCCATGTATTCCCGGTAAAAATAGTATTGGGGTGGAGTGACATGTATGTTGCTGAATGTTCTATGTTGCTTAAACATGCACCATGTAATGTATTTTTATGGTCACAGCATGAGCTGCTGTTGAACACTGATTAAAGAGCCAGTGAAAACAGATAAGGTCGAGAAAACAGCAAAACATTAACTCAGTTGACAGCTACACCTTGTACATGTATAAGCTTGTGAAGTGATTTTATTTGTTCATAATTATGTCAATTGATGCATAGGCGCTTCATTGCTATTACCTGTACCAGTATTGTGATAACGGTATTTGTGTCAGAAGCTTAAAAAAAATGTTTGCATGTGATTCAACTATTAGTTTTTTTTATTTTCAAAGAAATCAGCAAATACTGATTTGACATATATTTACAGTACCAAATTATGTATACTGTAGTGAAAAACAAACATCTATTCTTAAATTTTAAAAGTTTTGTGTTTACCCAGATTTGGATAGCCTGAGGGACTCTAATGTAAGACATTGTCATAGTCTAGGGGGTTCACCATGTCAAGAACCTATTGATAGGGGGTCCTTTTTTGTTTTATTTGTCAGACCATGAAAAAAATTAAGTTTTGATTGAATATGCTCCAATCGCTCTCATCATCGTGTCTACGTTTGCAAATACCATATCATGGTTACATAGGTCCAGGGAACAATGGATGCTACGAACAATATTCATCGTGTGAAACAGATTAAATGCGGACAAATGGCAGCTTAACTCTTTATGCAAAATATAGTTTTACACATTTTTGTGAATGTTTTTATCATTTTGGGCCACAAATGGACATAATTTCTCATTAGTTAAAAATCATGAGCAATATATTTGAAACATTTTGCATGTTTATTTTGTAATTTGATCTGCACTTGTAACATAAAGATAGGGGTTGTAATGTTAACCATTTTAATTTCATAAATAACAAATTTTTGTTAAATATGAATTGATACTCAGTGAAAATCTTGAAATTTTGTAGCGGTGAAAATGTCTCTGGGGTCATATGACTCGTTTGCGTCTTTCCACAAATTTTGTCGTCAAGAATGTTATAAAATTGTTAAATTGCAAAAATTCTTAGCAGTGAAGGTGAGGTTCTTGATAGCATCTTAAAGAAGAAAGCATGAAACTTGGATCCAAAATATAGAAAACGCAAATGTTAAAATTACCTCAGGTTTATGCAAAAAAAAAATGGAGGCTATAATGCTTAATTATCAATATAATATAATTATAATAATTATATATAATAATATATAATTATATATAATAATATAATTGGTGTTTTGGGTTTTGGATGCTGATCTACATGTACTCTACCCAAAATGTATGGTTTCACAAAAATTACTGGGGGTAGTCTGTATTCAGAATAAACAATTTTCTGTTCATGCGAGATCCCGCATGAAATCAAACATAAAAACAAAGGTCATAGCGTCGCAGTGGCAGAAAATATCGCGTGGCATTTGTCAAACAGAAAAGTATTTTGGATATTTTCATGCTTAATAATGTGCTGTACACATTTGATGATGGTCAATTTCGATTAAGTAAGGGTATTCAAACGAAATATTCCCCTGTCAAAGATCGGTGTTTCGATGTGAGCCAGGAAATAAATAAATTCAAGTTCAAAATCAAATCGTTTGATTTTTGTGGCAGATGCTTTGTGTACGTCTTTCACGCAACTAGCGAGATCTTGCAGTTGAACAAAAAAATCAACTACTTCTATGGCCTGAAAGAGTGAGAGAGTCTAACTGTAACTTCTTCAATGTGAGTGTGAAGTATACTTTAGATTTAAATTTAAATTTAAATAAATTTATGTTGCTGATTTAAAAAAAAAAAGTCAGAACAATTTTTTCATCACCAGGGATTCCCAAATCACCCAAAGTTTTCTTGTATGTTGTTTAGCATTTGCGTACTTACTGGATATGGTGATACTGGAAATGTGGTCTACGTTACTACTGGGCTATCCAAACCACTAGAGGGCACTAAATATGGCATTTTCATTTTGGTACTGTAAAGGGGTTAATTATTCACTGGGTTTTAATTTGGCTTAATTCGCTGACTGGAAAATGCGCTAAATTAAAACCCAGTGAATATGTAAAATTTAGCATAGAACACATTGTCTAAATGATAAAACCGTGAATTTAAAACCCACTGAATATGTCTGAAATGGTAAATCAGTGAAATTTAAACCCCAGTGAAAATTAGTCATTTTTACAGTATATAAAAGTCTTATTTAGACTTCTCTGATTGATATATACATCTACACTTCATATTTAGTGTTCTCTGAACTAGAGCAACTTTTCACCTTTAAGATCTGTTCAGCTCTCCCGCAACAACACTTCAGATTTGATGTCCTCTGTTTTAGGAGATCCAAATGCACAGGATGAATTACATGGTTGTACAGCAGTACATTATGCAGCACAGGAAGGCTATGTAGACTGTCTAACTGCTTTGATAGATGCCGGTGGTCAATATGATGTCAAAAATGATGATGGCTTGAACTGTTTAGATGTTGCTGTAGGAAAATGTAAACAAATCCTTGATAAACAAAGTGAGTAGAAAGTGTTTCAGCTATAATCAGATTAGACTGTCTAACAATCTGATAGCTAATCTGGCATCTAGACTCCGCAACAATCTGGTTGCCAATCTGGCATCCAGACTCCCTAACAATCTGGTTACCAGTCTGGCTACCAGACTCCCTAACAATCTGGTTACCAATCTGGCTACCAGATTCCCTAACAATCTGGTTACCAATCTGGCTACCAGACTCCCTATCAATCTGGTTACCAATCTGGCTACCAGACTCCCTAACAATCTGGTTACCAATCTGGCTACCAGACTGCCTCACAATCTGGTTACCAATCTGGCTACCAGACTCCCTAACAATCTGGTTACCAATCTGGCTACCAGATTCCCTAACAATTTGGTTACCAATCTGGCTACCAGACTCCCTAACAATCTGGTTACCAATCTGGCTACCAGATTCCCTAACAATCTGGTTACCAATCTGGCTACCAGGTTACCTAACAATCTGGTTACCAATCTGGCTACCAGTCTGCCTCACAATCCTGCTTTGGAACCTAGTACCTAGTACCTAGTTACAACCTGGCTAACAAAACTGTTTTTCTTAATTTCTCAATTGAAGCAGAGTGTCAATTATGTGAATCATATTTAAAATTGCAATATTGTGTGGAGTACTGGCACTGACAGTAATATAAACAGTGGGTCATTTTTTATTGCTTTAACACTTCGTTACATGCTTCTCTGATTTTAGGGGTGCGTAAATTAATGCGCTTATCTCCGAAAGATGCCAGAAAAGAGATAATACAGGAAACAGAAAACTATAATCGGAGCAGAGTTATTCAAGGAAAAGAAGAAACGAATACTAAGATAGAACATCAAACGTCAAAGAAAGCGTGGGAAGAAATTGAGGTTATCAGCAGTATGGTTTTACCTGCGCCAAAAATTGAGGACCGAAACGATGAGACTGTGTCAGAGAAATCTGAGGAGATTAACAAGGAAGCTGACCTTACAGATGAGGTCAGATCTGAGCATAGATTGGCGTGCTTAGATTCTATAAATCCTGAAATCGTACAAGATATATTAGAACCGAGTAAGTTGAAAACTAATAATGACGTTATTCAAATTTATCTGACAGTCCATATGCACGCTTTAAAGCGGGAGGGTCGTCACCTGCGCATTGAGTCCTAAGCGACAATAACAACACAAGCTGAAAACCCAAAGACTCATGGGTAGACGCTTGTTCGTAAACAATGACATGCTATGGCCATCTGACGTATGCAAGGTAACGACTCCCCGCTTCAATGCGTTCTTGCACTGTTCTTATTGGATGTACTACATGCTTTTAATTTGCATGCAGCCCGTGAATAATTGTCGATGTCATCTTGCTAGATCAAAATCGAGAATGGTGAATCCATAAAACCAAACATGTTTGTTTGTTTTTGTTGGTGAGTAAATTCTATCAGAGTAAAATAATTATTTTTTTTTTACAGATGCCGGTGTGTTACTGTTATCATTTGAATATAATTCAAAGACGCAAATTTTCAAAATAAGGGTTTGGCAGCTTGAAGACATCTTGCTTCCACCAGGTAAGATTCAAAATATTATAGCATTCATTGGATTAACCTTTCCATCTCCAGAATTTATCGCCAAATTTTTCTGCAATTTTTTCTTAAATTCTTCAATATTTCTGGAAATGAACCATAATTTTGGAGCCAACAGACACAATTTGAGTCAATTTTTAGTTTTTACTCAACAAATTTGGTTATTTTTGTCCCAATCTTCTGAAGAAAAATGCAAACTGTAAGAGGGACTATTTGTGAGTTTGTGATGAAAAGAGTGAAACGGTGGTGAAAAGGTTAAAGTGACTTCACATAATGTCTTGTTCAATGTTAGGTCCATGCAATGATATCCTTGGATCCATGGCGTTGTATACACCACATGAGACAATTACCTAACATGAATTAGTTGCTGCAAACTTTTATGTGGCTCTAGACTCAACACTTGTCAGAGTGGGCATTATAAGTCTCAGTTTGAACGCAGTTCGAAAACAGGGGTCTTATGAATTGACGTCTGTTTGTCTGTGCATCTGTGCGTGTGTCTGGACCTATATATTAGACATGCCTAGACTGATTACATTCAAACTTCACACATACATCATACATGATATTATACATATGCACGATCTGATTCAAGATGGCTGAATGGTGGCCATTTTTGTGCTGAAAAATCATCAGAATCAAGCATTTATGGATGAATTTTGTTCAAACTTGCTACATACATTGGACATTATGGGACCTTGATGCTCATCATTTTATTATTCAAATTGAATTCAAAATGGCCGACTGGCAGCCACTTTGTTTTAATGAATGATGGCCGAAGTTCTGTTAGTTATTATATTGTGTTTTATCCAAAGTAGCGCACATCAATTCGCTGCACATCCACCTCATTTTGCTTTATTGGGATCTATGACGGTATTGAGTGTGCAGCTGAATGTAAATCAGTCTTACAACACCCAGGCCTACACCTACGTGTTTGTATGCAGCGATTCGTGTTTGATATTTGCGTCGTGAGGTGTAAACAACTCATTGCCTTTGTTATGGGTCCCATGTGATGTATCCCATGTGTCATGCTCAATTATTTACCCCCAAAATGTGACTGAATTTCAGAAACAGTTAAATATAACAAACATTAGCTTATGTAATGGAAATTATAGCTATCATTGGGTAACAATACCCCCTAAAGTAGCAGGATGTGGAACCATTTAGGGGGAATGCATAAAAGTATAGTAGTGACCATTTTGTTGACAAATATACAGCACTGATGTTTTTTTTTTGTTTTTTTGTTAAGTTGAAGCTTCCATGATAAGTAGGATTTACGTGAAAAGTTACCTTCTACCTGACAAGAAACGGGAAACAAAGAGAAGAACAGAAGAGGTCAAAGTTGAAGAAGCCGAGCGCTCAAAACAAACCATAGTAACAGTTAAGAAAAAACGAAAGGATAGTCATAAAGCAATATTCCAGCCATCCAAATTTAAGTTTACCCGTCCATTAGATTATAAGAAAATAAACAAAGACGTAATTGAATCAAGAACTATACATCTTAGCGTGTGTGTCAAACAGAAATTCAGCAATCGTAGCTTTACAATCGCTAATTGCCAAATATCGATGAGTGCCGCTGTGAAGAAACTTAAACGCGAGAAGTTCAAATTGACGTCGTGTATTAATCCAACAATTCCTAGTAATCTCCATCTTTACTCCAGTGATCTAATAATTGTGAATCAAGGACTGTATAGCAATATTACGGCAAGCGATCCAAATCTTAGAAAGAAATCGCTCCAGAGTTTAGCTGTTGATGAAGATGATGCACAGAGGGCTTCCAGCGAAGGAAATCTACGAGAAGTGAGATGTCATTCAGCGGAGAGTATACCGTCAATTGTAATTGAAATGCCGAAGGATGAGAGGTTGATTCCAGAATTTGAGGGGGTGTCGGTAATTGCGGATGAACGAAAGGATAAAAAACATCCAGAGTTGACAGTGATTGATGTGCCGGGGTTGTACGTATCTGACGATGAACTTGAGAAGATTACTATTCAGAGTAATCATGAAAATATGTTATTTTCCACTGATGTTTGTAATGTTGCAGAGAAGTGCCCAGAATTGGTGCCATCTGATGATGACCTTGATGAAGAGGAAGTTATGGGTTCTAGACGTGGTAGAGTTTCTCCCAAACCAGGGTATGTTGTAGGGGTCAGGAATCAGGTGGTACAAGTGCAAGTTCATTCGGGTACATCATCAGGGTCCTCTAATACTAACGATGCAGCGACTGCAGATAATAATGTCTCACCTCACAGTGTTGAGTTTAAAAGTAATGGGACACCATCAATGTTGATTCATCACATCAATGAAAGCTCACCAAAAAAAACACCTCCAATGCGGAAGACACGAACAGACCAGACTGCAATTGCTAATACCAAAACTGGCTTACAGTTTTCAGGTACCAACACACCTGAACTAGTCGCTTATAAAACTATCAGCCCATACGGGAAAAAAATAAAAGACTACCCAACTTCTCAGGAATTTTCCCAATCAGACTCCACAAGTTACTCATTAAATCATCCAGGTACATGTATGAAACAAAATCCAACCCAGAAAAAAAATTTCACAAAATTATCATATGTTTCCCCAAATGATCAGAATGATAGTGTGCATTCTCATGAAACACAAAATACACAATTACCTGACATGGAAAAAAAAGCTGGCTGCCAAATTTTAAACTTGCCAGAAAATGATGAAATACTTGACCCTAATTTGAAGGATAAACTCACCACTCCAGAATTCAAGTTGCAGATGTTCCAAAGGACGGCAAATGAACCACATCCAGCTCTCCCTGGGTATCCTGTACGTGTTGATACAATGGATGAATCAGATCCATTTTTTGTTCCAAGAACACCGCTAAAATCTCCAGCAATCTCTCAGAGTCTACCTAAAGAGCTAACAAATGCAGATGATGATTCCACCAACGAAAATACACTTGAAAGTCCTACGATCACTAAATTGAAACAAAGTTGGATTTAAAGCAAATTTTTATCCAAGAATTATTTAATCCATTGAAGTAAACTCTTGTCACAATTCACTAAATTATCTTGCATAATTTTGTCAGTACTTTTTTATGAATATTGATAAATAGATGTAGCCATTAGGAAATTATGTCCGTTTGGTCAAAAATTAACAAGGAAATTATACAAAAGAAATATAAAAGTTTTTGCACAAATATTTTGTTGGGAAAAATAGTGGTATTGAGTGGGTTAATTATTTCTGTATATGACATAAACCCTGCTATATATTGTATCATAATTATAATATAGTACATGTACTTGTTATGAGACTTAAATAGCACATGTCTGTCAATGATCATGTCTAGTAGGTCTCCCCAGACAAATTCTATATCATAAGTAGTTTTCAGAATGGAGAAATCATAAACCTATTATTTCAGAGAAAACTACCATACTAAATATTGCATCATTCATCATCATATGTTTTTTGACATCATAATAGTTTTTATATATCATTCTCATAGCATGACATCATCTTCATTGTTGTCATGGCAGCATCTTCATGACATCATTGTTGTCATGACAGCATCCACATGACGTCATCATTGTTGTCATGACATCATCCTCATGAGATCGTTGTTCTCATGACATGTGTTCTCATGAAAGTTCTATGCAACGGTAGTAATTGTGAACCAAGATATATATTTAATTAATCTAAATTTATTTATTTATGTATGAAAACATGACAACAGTTGCATTGAACTGATATAAAAACGTAATAAATATATTTCAAAGTATTATTTTTATATAGATAAGATTTTATTTTTTCTAATCCTTTAATATCTTCTGACATTCCACTTTGAGATATTCAATAACAGTGTTAAGTTTGTGTATTTTGTATTTTAAATTAAAGGGTGCAACAGCACCCCACTGTGTCGTGCCTGATATGGGACTCCTAGCGACATACACAGCGCATGTAAATATATATTTACATGAAATTTGAACACATGCTACGCAACAACTACCACCCTTTAATGTAACTCTGGTACACAATTAAGGCTCTATAATCTTTTTTGTTTACTTGTGGATAAAAGGGGTTTTTCTGTTAATATTTTACAACTTTGCCTCAGATAGGAGAGTTTATTCAGCTTACACTGTCTGTACATCTGTTTGTGTGTCGAGCCTGCGTCAGTCTGTATTTGTGAACATGTGTCCATCTGTCTGTACATTCATCTCTTTGTGTCTGTCTTATAATATATATTTTTCTATGGCCATTAATAATATTAACACTTGCCCTGTTCTACATTGTGCTGGACACATTTTATACTGTTCATCTAAACACAGTGTGTCACCATGTGACATCTCATTGGCTGTATCCACAGTTTTGTCAAACTTTAGTATTTGTAAATGCTCATCAGCCATTTGTAAAGTACCACAGGCAGAATTTGATACATCGAATAAAACCTGCCAACAAACAAGCTGCTCTCTGATTGGTCTGGGTGTTAGATTGAGCTAGCCAATCAGGCACAATCTTATAAGTGGGTTAGCATTGACTCGTATATGTTGGTATGACAACTCAAATTCAGGATACCAGTTAAATGTCGCTTATATAAATACAAAAATCTTGCTCATAAATGAAGGGCAGTTTTTTTTAGCTCCGCTGTCGACTTTGTTGAGCGGAGCTTATCATATGAGTGATTGTCCGTCGTCATCCGTGTCAATGTTTTACTTTTTCGACTTCTTCTTGAAAACTACAAGCCTGAATGCTTTGATACTTGGTGTATATGTACCTTGGGTAGACCTCTCTCAGATTTGTTCATTTCATGATGATATCTTCAATTCTCTAATTTTGGTGAATATTTTTGGTAAAAAGTGATATTTTTACTTCTTGTTAAAAATCCGCAAGTCCAATTGCTTTGATATTACATATATAGGTACTACATGTGGACCTCTCTCAGATTTGTTCATTTTGTAATGATATCTTTAATTCTCTAATTTTGGTGAATATTTTTGTCATTTTTGGTAAAAAGTGATATTTTTGACTTCTTGTTAAAAACCACACGTCCAATTGCTTTGATATTACATATATAGGTACTACATGTGGACCTCTCTCAGATTTGTTCATTTTGTAATGATATCATTAATTCTCTAATTTTGGTGAATATTTTTGTCATTTTTGGTAAAAAGTGATATTTTTTTCTTGTTAAAAACCACAATCATTTTGGTGAAAAATGATATTTTTGAATTCTTGTTGAAAACAGCAAGTCCCATTGCATTGATACTATCCATAGTGTTCATTTTCTAATGATATCTTCTGTTCTTTAATTGAAATGTGCATCGCTAACAGTGGAGCTATCTCAGCCGAGAGGCTGCTTGTTACATTATGCCTTACGTTGACCGGATTTTATTCACAAACGGCCTTTACTTTTTATTGTCTGCTTTTGAATTTTTCATATCACCTATGCTATAATTTTTATACTTAAACATTACTGAAAAAAGTTTTGTTTGTTATTTCACTGAAATGTGCAGTATTTCTGGTTCTCTTGTCAGGGTTGACTGTATAAATATTTACTGATTAGTGACATTATGGTTGCTTTGTTCTAGATTCATTATATTTAACCAGAATTTGGGTTTTAAATTGATTGCTATGGTAACATGTTGGATGAGATTGTATTACATCAACTAATGCCATTTGTAAATATACAGGTTTTTTGTTGTTGATATTATTTGAAAAAAAATTATCATTCCACAAGTGTATTTATTTTTTAATATTTTATTTACAAAACTTAAATTTCTTTACTGGTTATTACAGTAGTTACCTTTGACATTCCAACTGCTATAGACAATGTAAATTGTTATGTTTATTATATATATATATATATATACAGTATATATATTTGATATTAAGTATGATTATTATTTAAATAAACTTCCAATTATATAATATTTATATATATTGTTTATAACTATAGTAGTTTATTATTTCTGATTGCCTTTTTTTGATTTCTGCAATTGATGTAGAAGCTATTCAGGTTGCGAGCTGCTGGCTGCCATCCTCATTTACACTTGTATACCACCATAAGTATAACTTTCATCAGACAGGGAGTCACAGTAACTTTTATTGGGTTACTAAGGAGTCACAATGATTTTCACTGGGGTACTAAGTGCAGTGACTTTCACTGGGGTACTAGGGAGTCACATTGTC